AATTCATATTATTTTATGTATGCTTTCAGGCGAAAGTTTTTGCGATAACCAATGGTAACGAGCTTATGAGGTTACAACTCAACAAACCATGCGAGAACTTGTTTATAAATCCTATCTTGACCAGTTTGTTCAACTTAACTAGAAACTGTATCGTTAAGAAGGTAAGTCGCTATGGGAACGACGCTATGGGAACGAAAATGTACAAAGATTGAGCATATATATATTTTTTTAAACCTTGCCCCTCATTAGGATTTTCTCCTGTGTCGTGGGTGCGTTTATAAACATACAAGTTCACATACACAATGACATCCAGACCCTAAACAACAATTTGTGGATCACACAAAGTGTTGTTCCGTGCGGGAATCGAACCCGCGACACGTTGCACGGCAGCCGGTTGCTCAGCCACCGCACCAACCGTGCAGTCAAACATTGAAGACATTCTGTGTGGGAGAGCCATGCATCGGCACGAATGGGCCGGCTCGACCGCAGTGATATCACGGCCTCACAGAAAACCAACGTGAAGCAACGCTTGCGTTGTGTTTTGTTGTGTGAGGAGGTTACCGGAGGCTCAAGTCCCCAATCCCCGATAAATCCCCCACAATACTCAAATTCCCAATTCCCAAGAGAAATTTATCGATTACTTAAACTATTCCTTAGTATCGATTTTTTTCTGAAAACAATTGCTGAGGACTGACTTAAGTTAATGACACTGAGTACAGCGGTAACAGCGCTTTGATTAGTTATATTTAGATCCTTGTGTAATACATAAAATAATATTAATATTTAACATACTTAATGCCAACTAATGATTTACGCTCATTCCTTCTGCGTGTGCGAAAAGGCCATTGATAAGAAGTGGGAATTTATACGCTGTTGATGTTATGTTTAGTAAATAGTGAAAGAGTGGGTGTTACATTTGTACATTGTGGCACCCGTTAGGTTCTCCGCAACTCAGAATCGGCATCAGCCCTCCGTGGTCTGGAGGTCGTGGTGGTCGTGGAGGCAGCGCTTCGCTGCTTCACGCGTCCCACCTCCTCCTTAGCTAGCATGACTACTTCGCAAAAGGAGAATACGGCATCCCAGTCCCCCTCGCTCCGCATCGTGACCCGCACTAGGGCCGGACGCGAGAGGTTGCCATCGCCGATCACTTCCCTGAGAGCACGGCGGTGCCTAGCCCATGCAGGGCATTCCGGTACAGTGTGTTTCACCGTGTCCTTAGGGCAGTCCTCGCAGTGATGACACCCGGGCGTTTCCTCCCGCCCCATCAGACACAGGTACCTCCCGAAACTTTCATGTCTGGTGAGGACCGGCGTCAGGCGGTAGGTGAACACGCCGTAGCGTCAAGCCATTCCTCTAAGAGGGGAGTTACCGGCGCTGCAATGGCAGCGAGCCCCCTCTTGAAGACTTAAAGCCGATTTTTCCAATGCCAGATAAAATTTGACAATTCCTCTATACTAAAAACTTTCAAATGTCAACTTTAAGAATTTTATTACTGTTGACTGATAAGTCGGCCGTCAACTGCTTATAGTGACTTCTCTGACAGTTCAGACCTAAAAGAGTCAGAATAAATTATTTTCTGAAGTTTCTACTGTTATTAAACGGTTTTATTTTGCTTGCTCGTTTGTTTGCTTAGGAAGTAGTTTTCCTGACGACAGATCCATCTGATATTTGGTACACACTCTTAATCTTGATGACCATACAATACAATCTATTTTTTCCACAACTACCTCCATTATGGATATCAAAGGAAAGGGCTTGATTGGTAAAACTGGGTAGAACAAAGCTCATTAAAACTCTTTAACACAAGAAATATTGTTTGGTAGCTGACGATCTCCAATTTCTGTTACAGGGACACTACAAATTTACAATGAATTTCGAAGAGATTCTCCGAGCTTACTACGGAGGAATGCATCTGTATGGTTTATATTCGTTTAAATCAATTCTTTACGGAGACCAATGTAATTTTTCTTGTACTATTATCGAAGTTCAGATTTCAGGGACATAAGAGTTTTATTTATAACTAGCTGACCCGGCAAACTTAAAAGTTTTTTCTCAACTTTTAAACCTTCCCTAGACTTCCACGAACCTAGCAAGACCAAAATTAGCCAAATCAGTTCAGCCGTTCTCAAGTTTTAGCGAGACTAACGAACAGAAATTTATTTTTATTTATATAGATAATATTTTGTTCGAGCCAGATATATTACCGACTTGGAGGTAAATCTAAGTGACATAAATCTTTTTACTCACACTTTTCTTTATTTATATTATTAATGATTATGTTTAAATAAAACTGTACTTGAATGTATAGCAGTCTCATTTCTCACCAGTGTTTCTCACGGTGTTTGTATAGTAAACAAAGTTATTTAGTACGCCTGTGAGAAAATAATGATTGATTCAGTATAGGAACAGTAACTGTTGTTATGGCAGGTACAAGCTTCTTAAGTAACTGTTGTTATGGCAGGTATAATTAAATATCTATCATATACTATCTATATGCTATGCCGCGGAGAACGTACAAGGTTACCGTGGCTTCGGCTCGAATCGCAGGAGTAGGAACGGGATGGTTTTTAGTCACTAAGTAAGAGTCTGACACTCCCTCCCGCCAAGCACAGGCGGGAGTAACCATTCAATGATTTTTCGCCCTGCAAAAATACTATTTGTACATGTATATATATAAACTAATATATAAAGCAGACCCGCCTCGCCCAGGCGGGAAAGTAATTCGATTTTTTCCCCTTCAAAAAATACTATCTACATTTATTATTTATTTGTATACTTAAACTAATAATCCCACCAAAAACATTCTATAAAAAACTAGCCAAGTCTCGATGGAGCTGCTAGTTTATCTATAAAAAGTAATTAAATATAACAAAGTAGTGCCAAGTCTAAGGTTCCTTATTGCAATTTCTTTATTATTATAGTTAATGTTGTGTGACTTTGCCTTTGAAGGGGGTACACAAGGGTACAAAACCATGTGCTCCATGACACCATTGCACCAAGCTGTCGCCAGAACCGCTACCCATTGACGATGGAAAATTGCCACTTGGAAAACGTGGAGTTCCCAAAGTTATTGGATAGTGCATTTACCGAAAAAGGCTTGTCCGAGGTCCGGGTCAAATCGCCTGGGAGCAGTCAGCCGCCTATAATTACGGTCGACTCAATACCTAGCCACTAGTTACTGTCTCCGTACTGAATCAATATTTCTTTTAATATCTTCGTACTAAGTAGATAATTTGATTGGTTGTACGAATTTACATCAATAAGTATGTTACACAAAAATCATTATTCCTTTGCCGAAACAACCATGTATTTTTAGTTTTCTCACATTTAGTTTTCCGTATTTCAATGCATGGACATTACGTTACAACATAATATTAATAAGTAATAACAGAATTATATTGTTATAACATAACATTTAATCTATGTTTTGACAATGGAATGTTATGAGATGTTAATTTTTATTTAACTAAAACAATAATGTTTTAAGAATACAAGGAAGTTTCTATTAGTCAGTTCCGTGTATGTAAAATAGGTATTGTCTTATAATAATGAAAAGTATAGGACTACTTTTTATGAGATAGGCGATTTTATTATCAAAAACAGATAAAAAACTTTACAGTTCCTTCTGCATTTAGATTTTATCAAAATCCAACATCAAGGTAGCAAATTCTTTTTTGTTATTCAAAAATTACGCTGTTATGGCGAAGGAGCTGACGAATCACTCGATGGTAAGCAATGGGCAACACCACTGGGCTCGCTGCCATCGCAGAGAGCCATCAGACCACCACAGATGGGGACCAAATAGGGCCGATGCTGATTCGAAGTCGCGGAGAACCTAACGGGTAACCGGGGCTCCGGCTCGACGTGCAGAAGAAGGGGTGGTTTTTAGTTCAGTAAGAGTTTGACGCTCCCTCCCGTCTCACCCAGACGGGAGCAGTCATCCGATGATTTTCCCCCTTAAAAAAAAAAGGCAACACCGCACGGTGGATGGTGGGTTGCCGGCCTTCTGGAGGCTAGGGAATTGAGAATTTGGTTTGGGGATAGGGGATGAGGAGAATTTATTTACTTACTTACTTTACTTTAATCCTATAGTTGTTGAAAGAAACTATAATTTATATTACATATACTGTCCATGGAGGTTGAAAACAAGGCGGACATAATGTCACTTACAAATGATTGAAACACAATAATGTGTGTTTTTAAGTGTGGGAGAGCCATGCTTCGGCACGAATGGGCCAGCTCGACCGGAGTGATACCACGGCCTCACAGAAAACTAACGTGAAGCAACGCTTGCGTTGTATTTCGTCGTGTGAGTGAGGTTACCGGAGGCCCAATTACCCTCCCTTCTCTAATCTCCTCAATTCCTGAATCTCCAACGATCCTCAAACTCCTAATCCCCAAAAATATCAGCTGATCCGTCTGATAGTTTACCAGCTTATGCCATAAAAAAAAGTCGGTGGTTTTTTTATGTGTGCGTATGTAAAGAGTTACCACGTTACCAGACTTAAGAAAATTACAGATATACTTCGTGTCAATGTGTTTATGTCCTGCGTGCAGCTCTATAGTAGCCAGGTGCCACAGTCGTTGTTACAAGAGACTGTGTCCGCCTTTTTTTATCAAGGTCCTTGACTTTGTCTTCTTCATTACATTCATGTTCATGGTTATACAACTACCCTTCTGAAGGTGCTCCATTTTTGTAGTAGGTACTTTATTTATAAGATCAGCGTACGTCCATTTTTTAAGGCAACCCCTATCGGCTTAACTGCTAGATCCATTATGACTTTTATCACACCATCATTTCTAACTTAAGTTTTGCTGAACGAATTCATTTTTTTACAAATAAATATTGCAGCTAAGAACGTACTTGATTGCAGCTTTGCAGCACCTACAGTTTACAAAGAACTCGTTTCACTTCTTATTTACATAGACTAAAACAGTTTACTATTATCTATGTTAGCAATTAATCTGTAAACAATATCTGTCAATACACGTCAGGATTTCATAATTTGTTTACACACTATTATGCGATAAATAACAACAAACAATACTTTCACAGTTTAAAATGTTTAGATAGTTTCTAATTCCATATAAATGGTTAAGCGAATCATCGAAATAGTTCTGCAACTGACCAGTATAGGACTGGTAATAGCTGCAGCTGGTCTTTGGGCGGGAGCAGGAGTAGATGCAAGACCTAGGCACCGTGATGAGCAGACTTTGGTGGGAGGAGCGATATGGAGCCAAATAATAATTCCTATCGGTCTAATGATTTCGAAGATAGTAGAAGAACAAATTGATGTTTATGTTCAAGGATATTATGTGATCACTGGAATATTTCTACTGTGGTTAACCGGTGCGTTTTTGGTTAGTAGTAAAATCATGTAATAGCAAATTATACTGTTTGTCCCGAAAGGTAACTAGATGTACTAACCTAAGATCGTTGGGCGCTGCTGCTGGATGCACTTCGTTTCCAATCGGTCCATCTGGAAGACATTTGAGGAGACCTATATTAACTAATAATAATGAAGCAAACGTGCACCAGGTAGTTCATGGACTAGGAACAAATCTCTTGTAATTCGTGAATAAATTTACACTTCATGTCTTAGGATCACTGAAGATCTTTTAAACAGTGTAAGTTACGGTCTGAAGTCCATTACACATAATAATATGGTACTAGTTATTCACAATTTCCAAAAAGAAAACCTTGTAACTACGCTGGAACTCAGTGAACAAGGAAGGTGATTTTTTATTAAACAGTTTTATTTAGCCTTACCCCTTTGCATGTTTGGGTCAAATTTAGTAATTTTAATTTTACCGCCTTCCTGACTATAGTTCGATCAGATATTTCGTAAACTCTAAATCTTGACAACAATGCAGAATAATCTAATTTTATCCACAACTATCGCTATATGAATCATAATGACTTGATTAGTGGAATAGAGTTCATTAAAACCGTTACACATAAAAAAAAATTCTTCCTACTATAAATGTGAGAGCTAGCTAGCTAGCTAGCTATTTGTTACTCAATCATTCCTAAACGGCTGACGGGATCGAGATGAAATTTGAAACAGGGATAGATTATGGTCTGGCATAACACATAGGCTACTTTTCATTCCAAAGAAATGCGGGCGAAGTCGCGGGTAGACGCTAGTATTTCATATCTTTTCAATAAAAAGTTACCGAACATAGTACAAACGAATTTTTGTTCTTATTATAGATTGCACATGAAATGAAATGGTTTGGCGCGAGGAACCGGGCGAATACTATGCCGCACATGACAGGACACTTGTCGCACAGTTCAAGGCACTTAACACATAATGCACGAGTCATGTCCAGCCACATACTGATATCACAATTCGATCGAGCTTACTATGCCATCGGAGTTATTTGTACTATAGCTGGAGCTGTCAAGTTAGGTGAACTCATCTTTGTCATCGTTAAGTCGACGTAACATTTATTCTGATTGTTTAAAAATTGTATCATAGTTCGCCTATGATAAACGTAAAACATTTTTACGACAGTGTTGTTTTTGAGATGTTTGTTTGTCTTAATTAAAGTTTTTTATACAAAACTATTATTTTTATTTATACGTACATGATAAAAATTGCCATGTTTTACAGATGTTAAGCCTTTAACTGCCAACAAAAACTGTTAGGCTAATCCTCCGCTAGCGTTGGACATCATTGTCAGACACGGCAGCCAATGTGTTAAAGAGATTTGAGAGAAATTGGAATAAACTAAAATTATTGCAAAATATGGTGTTCAAACTCGATAAACGAGCTAACAACAGTTCATGGTCTAATGTATATTTTCTACGAGTATTGTCTTACTTCTAGAAATAACAGATATTATACAATGTTACTACACAATTGTATTCAGTGCAATTTTCCCATAAATAACACTATTTACAGTTGGCAGTTTTCAAGGACATAGAGCACATACTTCTAAAGAAATGACAATATTAGTTACAAAATGTGGGAACTCACAAGACATGCCTACACAATAATGGGAAAGAAATTAATGAAATTCTCCATACAAATGTAACAATTATTATACCAATGTTATTGAATTACAATATAGGTTTGGGAGTGATATAGTAGTCTATGAATGTAATGAATGAACGTATTTATATTTCACATCACTATTCTTTACTATACAAAAGTGTTTGGACAACATTAGACGTTGATTATTTGGGAGAAAATAAGGCTTGGGTATTGTGAATGCTATTGAAAGCGATAATCTTACTTTATAGATCCGCAAAATTTGTGAATTTGTGTGTGTGTGTGTGTGTGTGTGTGTGTGTGTGTGTGTGTGTATGTATGTGTGTGTGTATGTTACTTACTTACGTAATCATCACATCAAAATGGCTGATGGGATCAGGATGAAATTTGGAACAGGAACAGATTATGGCCTTCAATACTACATAGGGTACTTTTTACCCCACTAGTACGCGGGTGAAGCTGCAGGCAGAAGATACTATATTATTTACTAGCGGCCCGTCCCGGCTTCGCACGGGGGGACTTAAGATTTTTTACATAGTTTTACGTTTTATTTATATTTATTCTCAGTTTATTATTTTTGAAATAGTAGGTAAGTACTTACCTAATAGGTATCTTTTGGATGAATTAATAGTCTTAAGGTAACCGATTGAACAATTCAAAAGTTATCTAGAGCAAACTTTTATAAGGATTGAACCATTCATTAAAACGATTGTTATGGGTAAACTATAAAAGGTAGACATATGCTCTCGCGGACTTTTTTAAAAATAATGTTAAGATGAACAATTCATCTATAGAGCATTTTTGTATAACTTTAACTATATGCTCAGCGCACGCCACGGAAGGCCTCAGAAACGATACTTTTCCCCCGTTTTTAAAACATTTTTGGTTACTGCTCCACAACTATAGGACCTAGCGTGATATTATATAGCCTATGTTACTTCTGAAAAATGCAGCTTTCTAATGGTGAAAAAATTATTGCAATCGGTCCAGTAGTTTTTGAGTTTATTCATTACAAACATACAAAAATACAAAAATACAAATCTTTCCTCTTTATAATATTAGTATAGATTTGGCCATTGGCACACGAAAACAAGGATCATTAAAATAGAAATAAAGAATACAGTAAAATAAAAACAAAACATTAATAATAATATTTAAAAGAGAAAAGAAATGAACAAAAATCATTAAAGCATGACACCATCCCATTATGAATTCATTATTGGCATAATCGTCTTCAGCCATGGGTTACATAATTGGACATAGGCCCAGGTCTTCTAGGCTATTCCCTCTTGTGCCTTTCGTACCTGGTCGTGTCATCAATAGTGTCTTCATATATTTTCTACATGTCCTTAATCTTAATTATAGAATTGAATAACTGCATTGTGGTTGTTTATTACTCTATTGCACCGAATTATCTAATAACACGCCTAACATCACGCCTTTTATCCCCAAAGGTATAACCAGAGGTGCACATTACGGCACTAATGTTACTATAGAATCTATATATGAGTCCCATTTAAGGGCCCGATTGCCATTTACCGGGCACATTGCCAGACTCCGTGCTACTACTTAGATTATTTTTAAAAGCCTAAGTAATACTTTGCCCGAACCGGGAATCGAAGTTGAGACCCTTTGCAGCACTCGAGTCGCACAGGAGGCAGTGCACTGAAAATACTGAGCTAATTTTGATGAGTCCTGGTCCAGACAAAAAAAAAATATTGTAAGTATTAGTCTTAATGAAACTCAAAGTCCAGTGTTAGAGAATGCAATCAAAATATAAGAAGTATAATATTCTTTTCAGTATTGATAAAGTCAATAAGTTTACTGACAATGATTGGAGTATTTTATTTCGTACCATGTACTTACTTGATTTTACCAGGAAAAAACATCTGAATATTACTACGCTTCTGGTTTAATAGTCTTATCTATATAATACAGATTTTTGATAGTGTTATTGTATTCTTATCACATACATAGTTATTTGTACACACGGCTACACATAGAGCTTTACATAACCAGTATAAACTGAACTTTGAATGTACGGAAAGATGATGCGACGCGACATCAGGATAAACTGGTTTTGTATAGATTGACGTGTAGCCGTGTGTACATATTACATGAACATGATGCAGATGCAATTTTTTGGAGAATGTAAAAGAAGAAGACTAGATCGCATACTAGTTAAAACAGCTCTCCCAATTGATATGTAATTATGATGAAAATTAACTTAACAATAATTTCACTTTAATATTTATTTTATATTTTTGTAGTGCACAACCCTTCTATTTTTTTATAATTGAAATGCAATGGTTTGCCGAGAGGGAACGTCTGGATTCTGTGCCGAATACGAAGATATACGCGAACGAAGTCGCAGGCGGAAGCTAGTATTATAAATGCGATAGTTTGTATGTTTGTTTGTTACTCCTTAACGTCATAACGGCTGAATTGATCGGGATGAAATTTCCAACAGCAGCAGATTATGGTCTGGAATAACATACGGGGTGTAAACGAAACGCTCCCGAAAAACGTCGACAAGTGATGGTAAAAAACAAATACTATATTCATAAAAGTAAGGGAAAAAAATGTCTCTTTTATGTAATAATAGTTGTAATCAAACGCTTAAGGTTGTTGCAGAGAACCTAACGGGTTACCGGGGCTCCGGCTCGACGTGCAGGAGAAGGAACGGGGTGGTTTTTAGTCAGTAAGAGTCTGACACTCCCTCCCGCCTCACCCAGGCGGGAGCAGTCATTCGATGATATTCGCCCTTTAAAAAAAAAAATCAAACGCTCTAGGTTGATGTTGCATGAATAACATAAATGACAAAAACAAAAACGGTTCAAATTGTTAAATCAATTACTTTTTGTCAGCGTTTCGCTAGCCTTTCGTCTACACCTGTATAATTTATGTATGTGCTATTTTTTATCCCACTGGAATGCGGGCCGAAGCTGGTAATAATAAGAAGAAATAAAATAGTAATTTATTTTATTCAATTGTTACAAATTATAGCTTTGTATAGCCAAAACATAGCATTGGTAGTGTAGTCGTGCCTTGCGAAGCCTATATAAAGTATTGTGTTATTATACAATTACTTTAGTCAAAGACTGACATGAGTGGAGTCGATTCAGAGCGAAGATTAATTAAACTAAAATGCCATTTGGATTGTAAGTTTACATTTATATAGTTTGAAGTGATTTTGTTGAGTAATTTTTTTTTAGGATCAACATCATATTTTTAGTGGTGGTGATATTCGCCAAAATTATACTATTAAAATGTTTATTGAATAAATGAATGTAACTGCAGGTGGTTAAGTAGTTCCGGGTTCGATATCTGGATTATGTAAAATGTTATGCCTGCGACTAGTGAGAAGGTTCCATGAAACACTTGTATTGCGGGGTTTTTCATAGCGATCCTATTTAGATTTAAAATGTTGACTACACAGCTATACGGCGAAGGAAGTCATTGTGAAATAATATAAGTGTAATATTGTTAATATTGTTGAATGCCCATACAAGCGTGTTGTTGTGTTGTGTTCCTTTTCAGTATGTGACGTAACCTTTAAACTCCACGGTAGGACAGTCACTGATGTTAGAGCGCCATCACAGTCGTCGTTGTCTCTTCGTCAGTACGGGGCAAGTAAATATGTGGCGGTAACTCCGCAGTGTGCCACGCGGCGCACTGCGGCGCTAACCAAGCGTATTCATTTATCCTGGCACTGACGCCGCGATAACGCAACGCTTGCGCGGCGCTTACGATTAGCGAACGCTCCACAAACGCTGATTGGCCTTTTCATGCTATTTAATATTTATTTATTTTCGTATATTTCAGTATAATTATCACGGGACTATTGGCTTTTGGAGCGTACTGGACGACGAAATACTTGATGACCATGCCCGAGTCAGCACAAAATATACAACAGACCACGACGACTATGACAATACCCACTTCGCTACAGTTGTAGCAGATACCATGACAACGGAATAAACAAGACATAAACGCCATAAATTAGTATAATTGAATAGCTATAAAGAATTATTTGCAATGTCATAGTTTAATAATTTTTTTTTTTAATAAATTTTTGCGATGTATTTGCATTTTTTTTTCTGATGTGACTCTGGCAATTATTATTTGAGATTTTCTAACTTAGTAATCAACTGATGGAAAGCAAAGAGTAAACACATCCAGTATTACTCTTGTTTAACTTGGTTCATTCATTAGGCTTTGAAACCACAGTATCTAGCGGTTTGAAAAATTCTTTTAGAGTAGCTAATATTTTTTTTGAGTTTAAGCTTCTTTTTAGTGTATTAACTTGTAAACTATTTGATAAAATCTAAGAATCTGAATAACATGTAATTTTTATTGTTGTGTCGTCTTGGAACTTGCCAGGTAAGTGTAAAATAAGATGACCATACAATATTATTATTTGAAATGTATTCGTAGCCCCAATGTACTTTTTTCTTATTGTGTACTATTTGTATAGAAGTTAGAGACTCCACTACAATCATGAATATTAAAACATTCATGAGACATACTAATTCAGCTGCACCGACTGTTGCGCTGCTACTCTACTGCTGCTACCAGTAGCAGCACGACAGTCGCCACGTCGCGGGTCGCGGAATGCTGCTCATGAATATGAGCCTCTAGCATGACTTGAAACTTTTTTAAGCAATTGACCTGGAGCTTACTCTTCAACCCAATTTAATATTGTGAAATTTCATAGTCTTGAGTTGCAATTATAGCGTCCATTGCATCCATATTGCATGGATATTGAATGAACTAAATGGTACTGTGTTTGGCTTTATATTCCGTACTTCAAATACTATTTTAACTCTTTCAGTCTTGGTGGTCGCTGTAACTAACCACCTTTTCTTAGAAATTCAATTTTTTAAGTATGCTTCAAATTACTTTGCATTTGTTTTTAAGCAATTCAGTATAATTGAATAAAATATATTCGTAACCAGTTAAAAGTGTGACTAAAAGAGTTAACAGCTTCGATTGGGGTTGTATAGTTTTGATATTGAATAACTATTGACAGTGGGATTGGTTTCGAGAGTAACCGGCCAGATCTGACGATAGAATTGGAAGATTGCTGATGTAACCATGGACTGGCTACGAATTTGCTAGGTAGCTACGAGCATATTAGGTAGATCCTTTTCCCTTAGTGACGAAGACTTATAACTAAAAGTATATTTTATCTTTTTTGATCTGATTTTATTAAACCGATATTCTCCATGTTTGAGTGTACCATCATCTCCAAGCGTGAGAATCAAACTCCTTTGTCCATTGTATCTAACGATAAGATCCCATATCACAACAATCATTGTTGATTTCAAAAACATTAAGGCGATTTCATTGTGCTGAAATAATTTCTTTGCAATTTCAAATTAGTTTTAAAACATAATTATTTTTTCATAATATCATAACATCACACCTATTATCCTCGAATGGGTAGGCAGAGGTGCAGATTACGGCACTTAGTGCCACTGTACAACGGAACACCAACCAACACCTGGCAGTCGTACTTGTGACCACTCGGCCAACGAGGCAGACATTATTTTTTTCTGGTTGATCCAACTATTCATTTAAGCTTGGAATGCGCACAACAGCTGTCTTATATAAATAGGAATGCCTTAAGTTATATAAACCTAATGAGAGATGTATAAAACGTAACTATTACTTTGCCTTTTATTCCCGGATGCACCTTCCAACATGGGACAGTATAAATCTTATCTTATCTTTTACTAGCTACTACTACACTATACTATCTAACACAGAAAGAATTATTCAAATCGGATCAGTAGTTCCGGAGATTAACGCGTTCAAACAAACAAACATACAAACAAACAAATTGTTATAAAGATAAGATATAATTATATGAAGCTTAAGATTTTTTTTGTTTGTTGCTATACGCGCTAATCTCCGAACCTACGGGTTAAATTAAATATGTACCATATTATCTCTGTAGTGTATTTATCGGAAAAGGTTATAGACTACTAGATGTTCCCCGCAACTTCATCTGTGTATATTAATGACTTCTGGCAAATTTTCGATTTTTAAACTAGTGTTTTCCAAGGTTAATTCCAATAGTAGGTATGGAAAAAATCTCATCAGCATCGATATCTCTTTATATCATGACAATAAAAAAATTAATTGTCAATCGTCCATTGACATAAAACTTACTTGTCAAAAATATGACAATGTGTGAAATAAGTAATACTGTGTGAAATAAGTACCAATACTTATTTCACACATTGGGTTACATTATCGAAATTTTCACACGGTTCCCTTTTTTATCTTATTAAATATAGCTTATGGTCATCATCGGTAATGTAGGATTCCAACAATAAGATATTTTTTCTAATCGGTCCAGTAGTTTCGGAGCAGATTCAATTCAAACAAACAAACAAGCAAACAAGAAATCAAATGTTTCTTTACACTATTAGTGTAGATGTAGATAACATATCACGCTACGATTAATAGACGCCGAGTAGAACGGGTGAAGAGGCAGGCATGCAAAAAGATAGATGGACGATATAAGAAAAGTCGGAGAGGCTACGTGAATAAAAAAAGCTAGAGACAACGACGAGTGGAAAAAGCTGGAAGAGTCCTACGTGTCACAGGATACGCTGATTACTAATTAGGATAACTGATGTGTTAGTGTCAATGACTGCCTCATTTTCCGAGTGGTCGCAAGTGCAACTGCGGGGCAAATGGTCTCGGGTTTGGTTAGGTAGCACGGAGTATGGAATTGTGCCCGGTATATGGCAATAGGCTCACCCCCTATTACATGGGACTCATAACATAAATAGTGAGAAGTGGGTGTTACATTGCACAGTGGCACTAAGTACGGCAATGTGCACCTCTGCCTACCCCTTCGGGGATAAAAAGGTGTGATGTTATGAAGTGTTAGTTCATAAGTTAGATTAATGTTACTGATTGTACAGTTTTTTTTGTGGCATAAGCCGGTAAACGGGCAGATGGATCACCAGAGGCGTTACAAGAGCGTTATCGGCCTTTTGGGGATTAGGAATTTGAGGATCGTTGGGGAGTTTTCAGCAATAAAGCTTATTAGAACGGTTAAAGCGAATAGCTAATCAGGTAATAATGAGAATGAATATGTAATAGAAGGGAAAATTTGTTACATTATTTAAAAAGGTATTGCTATTGTTTGTTTTTTCATTAAGACGTTGATTGAAAAGAGAAGAGTTGTCATTGAAAACTCAGCTTTAGTTTACAATACGTGCTCTGTCATTGTTCCTACTTACTCCGATTGAATTGCATAATTTATTCGTAGTCAATTGTAGTGTGAATATCCTACCACATAAACGTTTCTTCTACGAATTTCGCCAAACGAGAAATGGTTTTTGCTTGGTAAGTATTTTTTTGTAATTTTAATATATTGTGACCGTATGGTGACAGTAGAATAGACATACATATATAGTCATCACAAAAGCTACTTTTCCCATCGGTGTCATAAAAGCTAACTAAAAGATTGTACTAAACAGAACTTTTTTTTATGGGATAAGACGGTGTAAATAAGCTCACGGATCACCTGATGGTTGGCAATCGACGTCACCCATAGATACCTGGAATACCAGAGGCGTTAGAAGTGCTTTACCGACCTTTTGGGATTGGGTGGATTGGGTGTTTGATTTCAGTGGATTGGGGAGATTGGGGAAGAGGGGGGGGGGCAATTAGGCCTCCGGTTTCCTCTCTCATACGACGAAACACAAGGTAAGTGTTGTTTCATGTCGGTTTTCTGTGAGGCCATGGTATCACTCCTGTCGAGCCATCCCATGTCTCTCCCTCACTTAAAAACAAACTACAAAGTGCGGTATCCAGCCCACCTTGCAGGAGGTACGTAGTTCAGTGCAACAGAGCAGTTGACACTACGGGCTGTTGTTTTTTTTTATAATATAAAACAGACCAGAGTTTCCTGCTCTACACACTATGAGTGCGTCCTACAAGCGATGGTATACGAAGTCGACCATTTATTTATGGCATATCGGGTTTATCCATTGTAATCGGATACATCGAGTTCCTAATCAAATAGGGCATTGGGTATTGTTAGATGTCGTTTAATGTTACATCATTTATTTTACAAATATGACATTTTAAGCATAATTCTCTATTGTTGCAGGTTAGTGATAGTCACTATGTTACTCTTCTCACTTTATTGGGGAGTAATGTACGTGAACAGAAAACCGTTCAATAGTACCAACACCACTACCACAACAGAACGAATTATAATTAGAGCTAAAAGTGTGGATACAACGTTGTCTTCGGAATTAATTAATGTTACTTCAAATCATTCAAAGCGCCATTTAACTAATTGGCATCGGCTACCCGATGAAACACACACAAAAGATCTACCTGCTTCCCTACATAATTGGCTTCTTTAGGTTTTTACTATATTTTTTTCTTAACGTTATCTCACACCTCTCATTAAGGTTTCCTCCTGAAAATAATTTTTAGATGATGCTCCCGCTAGTTCCCCCAATCGCTCATTTATGACATATCAGGTTTATCCATTAAAAACGATACATCGAGTTCAAAACCAAAAAGGGCATTGGGTATTGTTAGCTTAATGTTAACTTCTATTTTTACAAATATAACATTTTAGGCATAATTTTCTGTTGTTGCAGGTTATTGCTAACCACTATGTTCCTTTTCACAATTTATTGGGGAACATTGCACTCGAAGAGACCACCGCTAAATACTACTGATGCCAATGCTACTAATACCACCAACACCACTACCACCACAACACAACGAATAATAATTAGAGCTAAAATTGTGGATACGACGATGAATCCGGAATTAACTAACATTACTTCAAGTCCTTCAAAACGACATTTAACAGATTGGCGTCGGCTACCCGATGAAACGCACACAAAAGACCTACCTGCTTACCTACATAATTGGCTTTTTTAGGTTTTTAGTATATTTTTTTCTTAACGTTACTCCCTCTAAGGCTAAGGACTCACGGTGAGATTCTCCCGCACCCGCCGCGATTACGGGCCCGCAGCCTTTATAGATATGTAATAAATGAAAGCAATTTTCACGGCGCTTTTTACGTCCGCGGCGGTTGCGGTTCCTGCTGCACCGGCGGCCGCGGCCGCGGGTTGCACTTTGGTTGGCGGGCCATCGCAATTGGATGGCCGGTCTGGAATACCATTGATTTAATTGCCCGCCCGACTTGCGATATCAACCATCAACCACCAAATTTGTTGGCGATGATCGCAGCCGGCGGCTGCGAGTCTCGTGACTTTTTGAAAATTCCGCCTCTATTCCGGCACCGCGGTGGGCTCGGAAGAAAATCGCGCCTTAAGTTCTTAGCCCGAAGATTATCTATCTATATTCTCCTGTATCGTGGATGTAAATCTAAGAATCTGAAATACACACTCTCAAAGATTGTCATCATATAACTTGGTTATTGTATTGTTCTATATCTTTACATGGTGTTTATTTCGTTTACGTTAACGGGATCGACATGTGACCGCGTTTATCCCTCTGATTGGTTGATGAACTTGGAGCAGCCAATCAGAGCGTCATTAACGCGTTGATCGCGTTAACCTGAAACAAACATACACTAGGCACTCGGATGCATTTACATGCATCTAGACTAGAACATGTTTTATTGGGAAACTAATTATATTATGTTTAAAATATTATTGTGTACCTACGTAAAGATTTGTTATGAATTATTTTTATAAATACCGATTCATCTTGCCTTTGTTTTATTTATTAAACCTGCAGCTGTAATGATATCATTACTAATCACTAGGTAGGTACATTTATATTGTCACGTGCCGCCGTGCACTGCACAGAGAGGCTCTAGGAGAGACACATAGGTCTCCATAGGGAGGTGCTGTTGCAGGCGTTGCCCTATAGGGGCTCCGAGGTTGGTCTACTACGAAGACCCGGTGCCTCCTTTGGGTGCGGTTGGTGGCCACCGGGGAAGTATTAGTGAGGTAAAAATCCCACACTCCCTTGTCTTTTTCCCCAAAAAACTAGGCGCCTTTTGAAGGTTTCCCACCGTCAACAAAAAAAAGTACATTTATATTAACAACTTTTATTTTTATATGAAAATGGATCACCTGATCGTAAGTGGACACCCACAATATAAGTGGAGATATGAGCCTGTGTAGGTAACCTCAGTCGTACAATAAAATGCAACTGTTAATTTTTATTTACATTTCAATGATTGGTATATGTTTGTAAATGTAATTTCATTCACATCCTTTCCTGTGACTATAGTAAACACACTGTACATAAAATAGAGACATCTCAAATGAAATTTGCTTTCGTGAATTTTCTTTTAACAAAGAATGACGTATTTATACTCATTTTTATAATTTAATGGTATTTAAAAATATACGAAGTAAAACAAAATGGCTGTTGGTTTGTAAGTACCTGTATTTTTCGTTATTACATTAATTGGTTTCTTATGAATGCTATTAATAAATTCTTTTAAAGTGCTCAACTGATTTTGAGCACTATAGTCCGAATATAGAAAGGCTACTCAATTTAAAGTTTTCCTTAAATATCGTGCTATCCCTGTCATTTTACAAAGAAATTGTAGAGACAGAACTATACTTAAGCGCAACAATTGAATAACCTTTCAGTATTCGGGCGTTAGACTTTTTGCTTATTTACAATTGAAATCAGTAGATGGCGTTGTATTCAACTAGTTAACTTATTCATTTTGGTTAGTAAATATTCTCACCCCCTATTACATGTAGGTACTGTTAACATAATTGGTGAATTGTCGTCGTACAATGGCCAGCACATCCATCTACTCAAATCTGTGAAATTTCTTCATAAAATTTTCGACTTTATATCAATACAATAAAGTTTAAGATGTAAAAAAAGGATTGGTTGAGTTGCTGGTGACCGTGTATTGTATACTTGGCTTACCTACCTACTTCTTCGGGAACAAAAAAAGTGTTACGCTACAATTGATATTTTTTACAGTGTCAGTGCCTTTAGCCAAACGCCACTTTAGCGCTTGTCTACAGAGATAAGTAGTAGAAATCAAAATGTATGGGGATAACCCTGACAAGTGTAAAAATTTACATCAATTCCATATAATTTGGTTTGCTATTCTACATGTAGACAAGCGCTAAATGGCATTTGGCTACTAAGCTACAGGATTGTCAAGAATAAAATCTCATGATCGATTCTCGAATTGAGCGGCTTTAATTTTCAATAGTAGTAATTATTTGCACCCATACTATGTGCGGACTACTATTATTCGGAATATAAAAGACCATTATACTTATTTTTATTATATTTATTTTGTTTCATCATTATTATATTATCATATCGTGCCCATGAGCAAAGCCTCTTCTCACACGGAGAAGGTTTGAGCATTAATCACCACGCTTGCTCATTTTGGGTTGGCGACTTCAAACTTATAATTTTCCTTCACTGTGTGTCAGTGGTTTCTAAATAATCTTAGAAATTATTTATAACTCGTAAAAAGTCACAATAGTATTTGCCATTGGTAGGTTTCGAACCAACCTCATTCATGAAAATCGGTCGTCTTAAGCTCCTGGCCACCACGACACATTGCATTTTTTTCTTTTTACTTACAACATAATTGTTTTTTTTTTTCAGAACCATGATGGTCGCGGCTCTATTTATGACTTTGTTCCTTGGAACCCGATTTCTTTTGGAAGCAGATCGAGCAAATAATGATGTTCCTATAGCAAACCTAACCTATGGTTTGTCACAGTGGATCACATAGACTAACCTTTAGTAATAACAAAAGACAAATCAATTTCGAAAACATGTTGTAATATTTATATATTAAGGTTACACTAGTCGATATCTTTTCCATAGAAAGTTCGGGGTGGTATTACTCGACAGTGTGAATGTGTACCTACAAAATTAAACACGATATCGTTTTATCTTGTAATTACATTTGTCGGTACGGAAACAAAAAAAATAAAAAAAAAACTACTAAAAAGTTATGAGCCAACAAAGTTTTGTTTTTCTTTACAATTTTAACGCAACTTTGGGTGTTAAAAAATACCACTAATCGTGTAAAATCTCCAAACCGAAGACCGTACCGACTCAGCACAATTACCATAAAGTTCTATAAAATTTATTTGAAATTGATCTAAGCAGTGGTTTTTTCAAAAAACGCTATTTTCTAAAGCACTAAATCGTACTTTTTTACGCACTCGTTTTGTGATGGATTATCGTGCATTTCACTGGATAAAACTCCCCCGGCAGTGGCGCGGGGCGGAGGGAAGACGCACACGCGTTTTTGCACAATTTTTTGCACAATTATTATTTGCACGACACGCGCTGTCGTGCAATTGTCGTGATTTAGTGAAGTTGTTTTGGTTGATTGCATGACACTTGGAATTTCCAAGTGTCATTGGAAAATACATAATAAACAATGGGTAAGTCGTCCCTACAATTTATTATACCTTATCTAATTAGATTTTATTAGATACAGTTATCGGTTTAAATTAAATTTTGTGTAGAAACTGCTGATGGAATCCAGTTGAAAAAAACGCATAATTATTATTATCAGGTACAAGGCCAACTGATGGTAACTAAAAGAAAGTTTTGTTATTTTGTTGTTTGGACGCCAAATGGCATCGAAATAGATATAATTGAAAGAGATGATGAGTTTTGGACGCCAGACAAAATTTCTAAATTAGATATATTTTACCACCAATGTGTTTTGCCGGAGCTGATAGATCCGCGTTACCCTCGTAAATTACCATTTAGAGATAGATTTTAAGTCAATGTCAATAATTACGTTAAATAAATATTACGATTACCAATAAAGATTTTTCAGGTTCATTGTTTTTTTTTGTCTATAAATAAAAGCATAATAAATAAGTAAGTAACTAAAAGGGTGAACCCTTAGCAATTATACCCAGCCTTGCGGCGCTCTCCTGTGCTGCTAATACAGATACTATACCGGCATGAATATTGAGCGTTGACTCAGATTGCGCAGAAATCAAGTCTCTTTAGTAGTAGGTATTGTGAGAAGGATTGTTGCTACCTACAATTCTTCTCCCAAAAATCCTTTTACAGTGATTAGCTCGCCAATGTATACCTACCCACTTTGATGCCGAGCGCTCAAGATTCGAGCCGGTATCTCTACTTATGTTTGTGTCAGGGAGGTACCTAGTGCGCAGCTTTATGTTACGTTCCGAGCTGCCAAAAAGTCTGTAGGTACCTAACACGAAGTTGGAGTTAGGGACCTACCTACACGATGTAGGTATGAAGTCCACAAGTTTTGTTACGGACGAAATGACGAAAATCTAATTATGTGGTATTATCACTACTTCTAGTAATCTTAGGTAGTCACCGACGTACCTAACTAGGTAAGTATATATTTAATTTTATGAAAACATAATGACAGATCAATTGTCTCGAAATTCAGGAAATAATTCAGACCAGTAAGTACCTACCTAAATAGGTAGGTAGTTCCTGAGATTATTATGTTCAACCAAACAAACTATAATATTAGTTAAACATTATAACCTGATGAAAATATGACATTTGAACTGTATTATTTAGATAAAAGATGCATCTAGCTAGTTTGTAGTAGGTACATAAAGTTATTGGTACTTAGAAAAAAAAATATTATATAAAATTATATCCCTAGCCTTTCGTGGATTCTTCGGATCGGATGATAAGTTGATATCATAAAAAAATTGACAGTAATTACAATGCCCTGTGACAATAATTATTAAATTCATGCGAGCATCATAAAATCGTAGCAGCGTGTACGACTTTACTACGAGTAAACACACACAGCACAGATATATGCACCGTTCAGTGACGTTTTGCTGTGTTTGTGTGCGTGCGAACAATACGTCGTGCAAATAGATAGCGTCTAACTGCTCATCACTGGTACTATTTCTGTCACACACGATGTTAGATGAGACAGCGCGCTTTTTGGCCACGCCCTTGATTGAGTTCGAGCCCGCGACTAGTTTAACCTTAAGTATAAGTATTAGTTTTGCAGTATATATTATATAGTATGTATATCTATTTAGATTTATAAAATAAATATTTTATTATTATATTTATTGTATAGGTTTTTA